CAAATCGACTCTAGATGACGGAGGGAACCCACCACCGACCATCCCATAGTGTGAGTGCTCCATGCCGAATATGCGATTTACACAGCGCTCGATTCGCAAAGCACTCTTCTCCCTGGACGTCAGCAAGTCGAGTGGGCCTGATGGAGTCCCTTCCATTGTGCTGGCGACGTGTGCTTCAGAATTGGCACCGGTTTTAAGGCGTCTTTTCCAGCAATCCTACTTCCAAGGCGTAGTCCCGAATTCATGAAAGACAGCTTTGGTCCACACAATCTCTAAAAAGGACGACCGCTCAGATCCGTTAAACTATATGCCCATCGCCATCAACTCGTGGTACTTTTACACTTTTTTTACGTGGTAGAGTCAAGCTGCAGCTATATTAGTAGGATAGTTGTAGCACGAAGGGGTCGGCTCGACCGGGGAAGGACCACGCTCTCACAGAATACCAGAGTACAATAGCAGCTTAACACTGCTGTGTTTCGTATGGTGAGTGTAGAGAACCGGAGACCCTTTTTACTGGAAAAGAGGCATTCTATCTTAGTCCTCACGGCTGACAACGCATCTGCATTTTGATTCGCATACGAGGATAAATGTAGATGTCTATGGGCCACAGCAACCACTTATCATCAGGATGACTGTGAGCTCGTTTGTCACCCTATCCTATAAAAAAAACTCCTTGTTCTCCAAAATAATAGATAGTATTATATACTGCCAGCTCAACAGGTACCTTTAGGATCACCAGCTGATTAGTGACTGCCAATATGGTATTCGCCGGGGTCGATAAGCTAATCAGCTAGGCAGTAGTGTCCAAGGGGGGAGGGGGGGACATTGGCCGTTTGTTTGGACATAGCGAAGGCCTTCGATCGCATCTGGCACAAAGCGCTTCTCCCTGTGGGCTTCCCGAGAAATTGTGGAATTGAATCACCAGTTCCCTTGCTGATCGGAGCATCAAGGTCGCTGTAGACGGTGCATGCTCTAATTGTAAGCCTACTGGTGTTTCTATTGGATATCAATGATATGTTGCAAGTGGGTATCATTAATTGCCATGCAGTCGAAAGCACTGGCGATGCCTTATACACCGGCCGTTCCAATATTTCTCGGGAAAACATCACCCAGTACCGGAGCAAACTTGTGTCTGAAGTCGAGTGTTTGCTGAACAAAGTCTCGAATTCGGGGCGGCTAAACCCAGTCCAGTTCAATGCCCAGAAGGCACAAGTTTGCGCTTTTACCGATAAAAAGAACCTCTTTGTCGTATCTCCTCCGTTTCAAGGCATTGCTGCCTCAGCTAGCATCGGAATCCTCGGCGTCAACATATCGAATAGTATGCAGTTTCGTGGTCACTTGGAAGGGAAAGCCAAATTGGCCTTTAAAAAGCTTGGCGTGCTCAGCAGAGCGAGACAGTATTTCATGCAGGCACATCGCTTGCAACTTTACAAAGCGCAAATTCGGCCTCACATAATATATTGTTCTCATCTCTGGGCCGAGGCACCCCAGTGCCAGCTCCTTCCACGTGACCGCATCTAGCGTAAAGTGGTTCGAATAGTCGACGACCGAGTTCTTTCTGATTGGCTCGATACACTGGCGCTGCGTAGGGATGTTGCATCCCTTTGTATTTTCTATCGAATCTGCCACGGGGAGTGCTCTGAGAAATTGTGCGGATTAATTTCAGTTGCCAAATTTCACGAACGCACATCGCGTCAAAATTCACGATGCCATCCTCACCATCTGGATGCTTGGCGGTCCACGACTTTTTTCACTATGTTTAATTATTTTTTATAGTTTTTTCTTCGTACAGCTTCTCTGTAGAATTGTTTACCACCGGCGATTTTTCCGGACCGATACGACTAAGGGACCTTCAAGAAAAGAGCTTACAACTTTTCAAAAGGCTGGCAACTAATCTGCAATTCCCATTGTGTTGCGGTTTTTCATGGGCGACGGTACTCACTTACCATCAGGTGAGCCCATGAAGCAAATACTAAGAGGAGGTATTGTAATTAGATGAAAGCTAACTATGTAACAACGCGTGACAATTTGCGGGGTGAAGGGATGTTAAGTCCCGCCCACTTTACACTATCTACATCTACCGATAAATAGTAAAACTACTCGAATTGTTTCATATCGATGTTGCAATTTAGTTTAGCTAGCTTGACGATAGATGGCGGCCTGTTCACAAAATATGTGTTGTTTATAACCTATAAAAATAATATTTTGGCGATTCAAATTTCTTTATGTCTGAATGCAAAACAAATTTTCAGCACCTTAGTATGAATATTTTACCAATAGTGAGCTCTACGTACCTTTATATTTTAGTTCAAATGACACAAAGTGTCGCCATCTAGTGTTGAATATATTTAATTATATATAAAAGCTGACTCAAAGACATTTTATAGAACTATTTTAATAAATGAGATGTAAAATTACTTACAAATTAAATATGATGCCATCCATAGCATCAGAGCGTCTATCTGAGTAGTTTTTAAACGATAAAAAACAATTCATCCTTTTCTTCTTAATACTACGAAAACACACCGATTTTTGATTTTATATTTCCGACAAATAAGCGCACAGGACTAATGCTGACAGTATACTAACTAAAGTCACTACGATGACGTAAGGACCTACTTAGAATCACAGTGCACAGTTGCTTATGCCGTCTCCTCTTTGTATTTGCTTCACGGGTGAGCCGCAAGCTCGTTTAAAAAAACAACTATGTGCAACATTAATCTGGATCTGAATGTTTGTCAACGTACAATTTACATTAATGTAAAGCACCTCAGGACAAGTCCTGTTGGACATGGACCTATCATAATTGTAAAGAGGATTTGCCGCAATAGTCACTCTTGGTGAGTAGATTAACGAAAGCAGTACCGGACTTTTTGCGCTCTTGATGCTGCTTCTTGTCAGCGGTCTGGGTGTTTTACGCCTGGCGTTAACGAGATGGTCATATCTATGAGAATCCATGAGATCTTTGGCATATCTCATAATCGCCTCTTACGACACCCACGGTACAAAATGGGATGTTGGAATATGTTGTACCGTAACTCCAAGGTAAGTACATTACTGTACGTAATTACATTAGTCAAAAAGCAATCACAGGTCCTAAACTTCCGAGTCGAAAGAATTATTGGTACTATTATGAATTATAGTGTTTAATCACAACTCAGTGCGGTGTCCACTACCCCTTTGCATTGCATGGGTGTCGTAAGAGGTAACAAATGGAAATGAAACATAAGATGTGCAGGAGTATCTTCTTGATAATAACTCAAAGTAATAAAAACTGTGTTTGACAATCAGTTCGACTCTAATTAATGAAAAATATATCTAAATTTACTAGTCAACTTTGCTAGACTCATAATGATTTGTTATATTTACGCGAACACTACACATTTAAATAAAACTAGTTTTACGGATTTTATCATGTATATTAACTTATTTTATATTTCCGACTTTACCCATAACTTGACAGCACCCATGGTGACCAATTAATATACGCGATAAAGTCCGTAAAACTAATTTTATTTAAATTGCTAGACTTTTTAACGGTACCACTATTTTGTTTATTCAAAGTATGAATAGTATTTTCCAACAATTGGATAAAAAAAACAGTATACCGTTTATTGAAACGTGGTTGAGCCATGCTGCAGCTATTATGGCTGCAGCACGAATGAGGTGGCTATACCGGGGGAGGACCACGTATTCACAGAATAACAGCGTGAAAAAGCAGCATAAATCTACTGTTTCGTTTTTTATGTTGAATGATGAGAACCGGAGACCCTATTTACTGATAACGAGGCAATCTATTATAGTGTTACAACACGTTTGTATTTCAATTGTTAATCGCCTAAATATTTATTTAAATGTTTATGTGTCATGACATAGGTGTCCAGTAAATAGTACTACATGTCCAGTAGTGAAAAAAATGTATGTGACACTTTTGTACAACAACCTTAAAAAATTGCTTTTTTGATGGTGGTTTCGAAAAGATACAACGCTAGCGCATTTTCTTTAAGAAATAATGAAAATATGCTATTTTTGTTTCAGATAAGCTTTTTGTTTAAAATGCAATTAACGTAATTTTGACACAAAGTAATAAAAAATAAAAATGCCTTTTATTTCTTGCTTCAGAGTAGAGATTTACTATTTTAAAACAGTGTGCATGCAAAAATTTATTGATCCAGTGTTACAAAACTTAGTATTTGGTGGATATTACTTTTAATAGTTAGGAATATAACATTTATTTAGTAAGGAATATACTTAATTTTGATCATCCATCTGGGTTTGTAATAGAATAATAGAACAAGATATTTTTTTTTACTTCTAGTAATTGTCTCAGACAATTATAACAATGCATTCTTAATAACATGACGAGCATGTATTAGGACACAAGGAAAGCAACTCCAAGCATTTATTGTGATTTCTTTAAATATTTTTTAATAAAATTTAAGTTAAAGTCTACTGATTTTACTATCGTATTACCTTATCCTTCGAGATGTCAACTACAAACTGACAAGCTGGTTGGCCGTAGATTATTATCTAATATGTAACTCAAATCGTAGTACGCCCGTACTACGTTTCGAATTCAAAATCACATTACTTGCATTAAATACAAAAGCCCCCTTTGAACTAAAATAGCATAACGATAATTCTAATTATTATTAAAGAAAATTCGCTAGTATTGTATCTACAAAACTAAACTAAACTAAATAACAATACAAAAAAGAGCGAGATAGCACATCCGCTTCTTTTGTTAGACAATAACCGGTCGGGTCGGTTCGGCGAGCAGGTAACGTCCTTTATTCATTATGCGTGCATATCGCATTTAAGGTGTTACAACTTGTTTTATAATAATTTGCGTAAATGAGCAGCGATAATATTACTATCGTATTATTTTGTGTCAAAATTACGTTAATTGCATTTTAAACAAAATCAGCTTATCTGGAACAAGAATAAATTTCAATATGAAATAAGCAGTGCCTTTGTACAAAATATCTTTTTTTTTTCTTCATTATAACATTATTTTTGTGTGTACATAAATTGTTAAATAAATAAATAAATAAATAGCATATTTTTCATTATTTTAATAAAAAATGCACAAGTGTTGTATCTTTCCGAAACCACCATCAAACAAGCTATTTTTTAATGTTCTTGTACAAAACTGTCACATACATTTTTTTCAGCACTGTAGGGTAAAGTGAAGCGATAAGGAAATCGTTCAGTGAAAAATATTTAAAAATATTTATTACTTGGACATATTTTTGTTTTTGATAGAAAAAAGACTTATCGTTGAGTAGAATGACTCATCATCATTACAACCCTTCACAAGTCCACTATTGAACATAGGCCTCCCCCAAGGAATGCCACAAAGCACGGTCTTGAACCACCTACATCCATCGAATTCCTGCATGTCTCACCAGGTTGTCACTCCATCTAGTGGGGGGTCGCTCTACACTTCGCCTACCAGTACGAGGCTGCCACTCGAGAACTTTTCTTTCCCATCGGTTGTCGGTTCTTAAAGCCATATGACCGATTCTACTGCGGATATCCTCATTTCTAAGTTTATCACGCAGAGAAACCCCGAGCATAGCACTCTCTATAGCTCGCTGAGCGAGCTTGAGCTTCCTTATACGGCCAGCAGTGAAGGACCACGTCTCAGATCCGTAAGTCGTTACTGCCAACACGCACTGGTAATTTCGTTTTCAGGTTTTAAGGTATGTCTAACGAGAAGATGTGTCGTAGTTTCCCGAACGCTGCCCAGCCCAGAGTTCAATCCGTCGATTGACCTCTCGGTCGAAGTTGGACTTACCTAGTCGGATTATTTGTCCCAGGTAAACATACTCGTCAACAACTTCTAGCTTAGTGCTCCCAAAAAATACCGGCATAGGTGTGACATGGACATTAAACATGATCTTTATTTTGTCCATGTTCAGCCTAAGACCTATTCGTTGGGAGACACTATTGAGGTCATTGAGTATGGTGTTTAGGTCCTCTAGCGATTCGGCCATAAGGACTATATCGTCGGCAAATCGAAGGTGAGTGATGTACTCGCAATTGATGTTGATACCGTATCCTTTCCAGTCCAGAAGCTTGAAAACATCTTCCAATGCAGCGGTAAAGAGTGTCGGGGATATGACGTCACCCTGTCATTAACCTCTCTGCAATTGGATTGGTTTCGTACTATTATACGGGACCGTGGATAGAGCTTTTTAAAAAACGATTTTATTTACACAACACGATATAATTGGTTATAATTAACAATAAGATTTATTTAACTTAGGATTTAGAATAACTGGGACTTAGAAAACCAGCGTGAAGTAGAGGTTTACCTCTGCGTTTCGCTTGGTGAGTGCAGGTGGCCGGAGGCCCTTTTAACTGGAAATGAGGCATTCCATCTTAGTCCTCACGGGTGACAACGCATCTACATTTTAATTTGTAACAGAGGATAGATGTAGATGTCTATGGGCCGCAGCAACCACTTACCATCAGGTGGACTGTGTGCTCGTTTGTCACCCTTGTACTATAAAAAAAAAATAGTAAAGATTTAGTAAAGATATAGAAACGACTTAGTAACGATGTATGAAAGAGACTGAGATTGGAACGAGACTGACTTGTAGATTGATTCTTGATTCCCGACTGACTTCTGATTCGACTGACCTGTGGGCGTTTGTCGGGAGGTCGGTTATATAGGCTTTATGGTGCTGACGCAGCAGCGTTAAAGAGATGCGTTAACCGATCTCCTAACATTGATGGGGTATAACAGCCCCCCCGCGGAAAACTGAAGATCGGGAAAATAACCGAGCTTCAGAATATTATAGTTTATGCGACTTCTCTTAACCGGGGTGCTGGTATTGTTGAATCCTCGCGTTGTGAAATGGAATGATTATCATCATCGTTACGAGTCGAAATTGGTACATTAGTATTTGAATTATTCTTAAATCTAGACATTATAAATTTGTAACATTTAAAGGCTATGAATATAACAATAATTATTAATATAACAGAGGTTAGCGTTGTATGGTGTGTCCCGTATTTTACTACCAAGGGTTTATTAATTATATTATCAAGTTTCGAAAGGTTTTCTAAATTTTGTTTATTATTTGTGAAATCATCTAGGTCTATATTTTGTAGTAAAATAGGAGATGTATATTTTTTAATACTAGAGGATACATTAGGTTTACAACAGGGATCATTAATTATATTAAAATCTAATCTAGGCGTAGGAATATTAATGTTCAAAGTGTCGTCAGACGACACGAGCCTTGTGCTCTTTGTATACACTGTGCACTGTGCGGGAATATTTAGGATACCCGTACCGAGTATGATTGGCTCTTTTAATCCTGAGATACCACAGTCGATGGTTATCCTATTTGGACGAGATTGCACAAAAATCCACCGATTGTTCACTAGTGGTTTCTAGATGTCCATTTCACTATATAGTGTTTTAGTTTCGCACTGAACGGGTAGAGCACTGAATGTCTTAGTGAGAAGTTCACTTTCACATGTAGGGTTACCACTTGTTAATGATATGGTCGGGACTTTACACAGGTAGAACTCAGAGCGTATAGACTTACAATTATTAATATTATCTAAATTACAGTAGCTTAACTTATAATTAGATATTCCGATGTAGGGAGTTGAAGGTAGGATTAAACTAAAGATGTTCAGGCTGGTTAGGTTATGAGGAATAAGTAGAGCTATGCTATGGTATAGGTTAAATTGTTCATTCATTGTAAGAGGGATTGGTAGGATAAAACAATTTTATTATTTATAAAATAACACGAAACATCGGAAATACTTAAAATTAAATGAATATTATTTATGCTTAATGCTATGGGTATCCCTGTGTCTCTAGGTAGGTGCCTATCGTTATCAATGAGTTCTTTGTATAGTTGCGTCGGGGACAAAACACTCGGATGTAGGATGTTTTGGCTACTTAGAACAATGGAGTTGGTTATGTCCTCCAATTGGAATGATAAGGCGAGTAACGAAGCTTCGAGGCTACTAAATACTGAATGGACCTTTGATTCAATTAATAAGTCATTGGTGATTTTATTTGTATTGTTTAATATTGTATTTAATGCGTTATTTAATATTTCCTCGTTGTATTTTATTTTGCTTATAGTTTTATTAAATGTATTAAATGAGGTAGTTGTTATTAAAATATTTTCTTTTAGGAGTTGGGCGAGTTCCTTTTCGTCCTTTTGAACCGAGGTTATGGCGGAGTCGTATTTTATGGCGTCTTCTTCGTCCATAGTACCAAAGATGTGTTTGAATACAGTGCCTACTGCACTAAACCACGCGGAACGTTTATTACGTTTAGATATTAAATGGGAGATTGAGTCATATTCACGTTTGATGTCATTGAAACGGGTTGTTAAAGGAGACAACGTGTTATCGCAATAAAGATTATTCGATTGTTGACATATAAGTTCTACAGTTTTTAGAATTTCGTTAAGATTAGTTAAGTGTGGTTCAATATAAGAAATATCTATGTGGCTAACAACGTCTAATTTACCTCTAATTATTTTTAATTTCCCTATCTTATCAAAGTAGATGTCGGAGCTAGAAGGAAGCGGCTGAACGAAATGCTGAACGGCATTTCCGGTTGCGCCTGGGACGAGACACTGAAAGTGATATAAATGAAATATGAATGTAAAGATATTTAATAGAAATTAAAACAGTAACATTTTATTTACTAAAATTAATATAGATTATAATATTTCTAGATGACTAATACTTAAATTTAAATTAAATTATTCCGGACATTTCAGCCGGTTTGAATTTGTCGAAATGATGAGTTACGTGACGTCTATTAATTAATAGTGTGGCCGTATGGTTGTTGTGAACACGAATTATTTTAAAAGGTCCTTTCCAGACAGGTGAGAGTCCCTTTCCTTGTCTTAAATGGTTTTTGAGGTAAACGTAATCGCCGGATTTATATTGGGGAGGAGTTCTGGTGTGAGAGTCATAATAAGCTTTGGAGGATTCTTTAGATTTTAAAATGTTTTCTACGGCCATTTCTCGTGTATATTTGAGCTTGTGTTGTAACATTTTAATATAGTCGGAATAGGTTGTTCCGGAGCTTCTTTCATATATAGAATTGGGAATATAGGGTTTTTGTCCAAAGACTTGCTCATAAGGAGTGAATTTTGTAGTGGTATGTGGAGTGGTATTGTATGTAAGTATAGCGGTGTAGACGTAAGTGGGCCAATTATTTTGATTTGTGTTGACGAATGATTTTAGATATTCTTTGAGAGTGGAATGGCTGCGTTCTAATGCTCCTTGAGTTTGTGGATGATAGGGTGAAGACCATAACTGCTTGATTTTTAGGAATCGGCATGTGGTTTTGAAGAGGTCGGACGTGAAATTTGTCCCTTGGTCTGTTAGGATTGATTTGGGTATTCCAAATAAGGAGATGAAGTGGATGAGGCAATCGCTGGTTTCTTCGGCTGTTGTGCTACGTATGGGATATGCTACAGAGTACTTTGTTAGGTCGTCTTGTAAGGTGAGTATATAACGGAGTTTAGCGGTTCCGGATTCGGGTAGAGGTCCTACGATATCTAGAGCTACGCGTTGAAAGGGAGCAGTGGATGTAGTAGTGATTTCCATGGGGGCTTTCTTTTTTTTCCTGAGAGCCTTATTTTCTTGGCAGGCTTTGCATTTCTTGACATAGTCTTCTATGTCGCTTCTCATTCCTTTCCAATAATATTGGTCCTGAATCCTATTATACATCCGGGTTGAGCCTAGATATCCTGCTATTGGGATATCGTGGTTATCCCGAAGGATTTTTTAATTTCACCTAGAGTAGGATATATTATTTGATTACGATAAATATGGATAGAGATTTTAGAGTTGTTGAATATGTAAGTAAGTATATTATAGATTTTGGAGTGGGAAAGTCTGTCGAAAGGGTTCCGGAAGTCAGATATTGCGATATCTGTTACGTCATTTGTTTGAAGGATTTTGCTTTTTATTCGTTGCAGTGTTTCATATATTGCAGGATAGGGTGTTTCATCGAAGTAATGGACTTTCGTGAATATGAAATATATTATTTTATCTAAGTATTGTAACTTTTGGAATGAAAATAATTCTTTTTCAGCTTTTATAATTTCCTCTGTGTTTTCTAAATTTGATAGGATTTCGGAGATGTAGGGATTTGATTCGTCTAGGTCAATAGAGGTAGGAATTATAATTGTTTTGAAGGATGATTTTAACAGGTTTTCGTTGTGTTCTTTTAAGGTGGTGTTTGGTATAAATTCTTTATTGATGGATGGATTTTAGGAATTGGGAATAGTTATTGTTTTGCGTCTGGTTTAATTTTTCATTTTCTGGTTCAGGTGTGGGAACAGTTGAAGATAGTAAATTTGGTTGATTCGACGGGATAGGAGACGTTTCAGGTATCGGCGAGTGACGGAAGGGAGTTGGAAGTTGGTTTGGCGGAATTGGTAGAGTTTCAGGTGGAGGTGTAGGCAGATTAAGTGAATCAGTATTAATATTGAGATCGTCACCGTAAGCACCTAGGTCTCGGAGGCCGAAATCGTCAAAGTCAAAGATTTGATCGGTTGTAGAAGGTTGAGGATCTACTGAACTAGAAGGATTAGGGTTGGTGTTATTAGTTGACTCTAGGATAGGACTATTATTTAAGGGAATCTCGATATCTTCGAGGAGGTCGATTAAAGGTGTTTCATTGCTATCGGGATTAGGTATAGAGGGGAGCTGTCTTTCTAGCTCTTCGGGTGTGATGTGGTCAAATGAAGGAGGAGAATAATTTTCCACTTGTGTATTGGGAGCCTGAGGTTCTGGATATTGAATGGGATTGACAGGGAATCTGGAGAGAGCGTCAGCGTTGGTGTTAATTTTACCCTTTTTATGGACGATGATATAGTCGAATTCTTCAAGTTTGAGTCGCCAACGGATTAGTCTGGATCCTGGGTCTTTGCAACTGAACAGCCATTGTAGAGGCTTATGATCCGTGACGATGGTAAAAGTGCGTCCATAAAGATAAGGACGAAATGCTTTGGTTCCGAAAACGATAGCGAGACATTCTTTTTCAGTCACGCTATAATTGCACTCTGCTTTGTTTAAAGTGCGAGAAGCGAAGGCTATAGGATGGTCTTTTCCTATTTGTCCCTGGGATAGGATTGCTGAAATAGCGAAATTAGAAGCGTCGCAAGTTAGTATAAAAGGTTTTGAGAAATCTGGGTATGCCAGAACTCGTGAAGTGGTAAGTTTTTCCTTAAGTACTTCGAAGGCTAGTTGCTGTTCATTTTTCCAGCAGAAAGGAGTATGCTTTTTTAGAAGTGAGGTAAGAGGTTTGGCTAATTTGGAGAAGTCGGGAATGAACCGTCTATAGTAAGAGACCAGTCCGAGGAAAGATATTATGTCTTTAGCACATTTGGGAACAGGGAATTCGGAGATTGCTTTTAATTTCTCTGGGTTTGGTTTTACGCCATCGTTGTTGATGAGATGTCCCAGATAAGCGACTTCTTTACATAGGAATTCACATTTGTCGGGTTGAAGCTTAAGGTTATAGTTTCTTAATCTACTGAAGACAGAGGCAAGATTTTGTATATGAGAGTTAAGATCGTGAGAATAGACAACTATGTCGTCGAGGTAAACGAAACAGCGGGAGCCCTGGAGGCCAGAGAGGCATGTATTCATGAGTTTTTGGAAGGTAGCTGGAGCGTTTTTAAGGCCAAAGGACATCCTAGTTAACTGGAAGTGACCTTGAGGTACTGAGAAGGCAGTCTTAGGTGCATCTTCAGATGATACAGGGATTTGATGGAATCCTGATGCAAGATCAAGAGTAGTGAAGGTCCCAATTGGTCAAGGATTTCAGTTATTTGAGGAATAGGGTATGTTTCCCCAATGGTGACGTCATTGAGTTTACGGTAGTCAATTACGACACGCTATTTACGTTCCCCTGACGCGTCTAATTTTTTGGGAACGACCCAAATAGGAGAGGACCATGGTGAGTTTGAGGGAGTTATGATGTTTTGATCTAGCATTTTACTTATTTGTTTTTCCACTTCTTTCTTGTGGCATTCGGGGAATCTATAGGATTTTGTTTGGATAGGGACGTCTGTGTTAGTTTTAATTTTATGTTCGTATGCAGTGGTGCACGTGAGTTGGTCGTCTGGGAGGTGGAATATATCTGAATAGTTCGAACATATGTCCAATAAAGCGTTTTTCTCTTCGCTATTAAGGTGAGAGGTTCTTAATTGTTTGAGGACTTCGTTTGTCCTTTTTGACACGTTGTAGACTGATGGTTTGGAAAAAGCTATGATGTTTTCAAGCTGTACTGGCTCTATTTTTAAATTAAGGTTTGGGTGGATTATAGCAGGTTTCTCGGAAGTGTTTACTACTGTAATATTGACGCGGTTGTTTTCCTTTACCTTAACTAAACAATTTGCAATTAATAACGAGTCAGAGATGTGTTGATCTAGAATCATTCCTTCGCGAACTTCTGGGTTACTAACTGTGCATTCGATTACAGTTTCCGTGCGAGGGGAGATTGTATACACGGGTTCGGAAAAGTTGAGTTTAATTGAATTAGAACCTATTTGTAGCATTCCTTGAGAGTAATTGATTTGGCATTGAAAGTCCCTAAGAAGATCGTTACCGATAATTCCATCATGATTTAGGTTAAGATCTTGAACAACATGAAATTCGTGTGAAAAATATTTATTAGAGTTTATGTATATTTTCATTGGGAAGCTGCCTAATGTAGGAGTTGTCTCGTCTCCGGGGTCGATTCCTTTAAGTGTTATTATCTCATTACTTAGAACTGGAAGGTTTGATATGGATTTTGATTTTAGTAGGCTTACAGATGAACCGGTATCTACTAGGAAGGATAATGGCTTTGTTGCAACGGATGTTTGTATCATAACATGAGGTAAGTATCTTTTCTCTATATTACTATTTATTTCGTAAACTTTAATTTGTCTTTTTTCTGATTTCAGGTTGTGCGCTGGAAGCGGTGTGACATTTGGATTTAAGTTATGCTGGTTCTGGAAGTTAATGCGTTTGGAATATTTGACTGGAGGAACAGATTCAGTGGGTTGCAAGGATATCTTATGTGAGTTAGGAATGCGTGATGCTGCAACGGATGCGTATGAGACTTTAGGATTGGTAAGTTTTACAGGGATTCGTGCATGGAGATTGGATTCAGTGTTAGCAGTGATATTGGACTTGTCAGTTCGGGGCTGGTTACCCTGTCGTTTAAGTCGTTTGGATACAGTGGATACAGTGATATTTGACTTGTCGGTTTGGGGCTGGTTACCCTGTCGGTTTAGTCGGTTGGATACAGTGGATACAGTGATGTTCGACTTGTCGGTTTGGGGCTGGTTACCCTGTCGGTTAAGTCGATTGGATACAGTGATGTTTGACTTGTCGGTTTGGGACTGGTTACCCTGTCGGTTAAGTCGATTGGATACAGTGGATACAGTGGAGTTCGACTTGTCAGTTTAGGGCTGGTTACCCTGTCGGTTAAGTCGGTTGGATACAGTGGAGGTGTCGTTTGGAATTGAAATAGTGTGTATACGAGGCCTTGGACTCGCGGGACACCGCCGAGAGCCCTTTATTCGTTTAAATTATGGTCAACCTCGTCATGTCCTTGGTCTACCATGCCCACCTGTTCGACAGAGTGGATTTTACGCGGTATGTTTTCGCTACGCTGTGGGAATAAATGAGGTGGACATTGTGAGGTTGATGTACCGAATTGATGTTTGCTATTGTTGTATTTGCGTTTACGACAGTTCTCTATGGTGTGACCGACACTCTTACAATATCTACAAAATACATTATTGTTGGGCCTAAAATTGTCGGTGCGGTAGTTTTGTTGAAAAGGTATGTTACGACGGGGCGGCGATCGTCTTTCGGTGTATATAGATTGAGACTGTGGCGGTTGAGGTCTTTTCCCTATGCTAGAGAGGATTTTTTCTTCGGCCACTGCGAAGTTAACTGCTGAATTTAAAGAGTCAGGGTCACGGCACCTGACTATCTGGGATAAACGCGGGTGAAGTCCTATTACGAATGTGTGGAGGGCTAGGTCCACCATAGCTGCTACGCGACCTGATAATTCCGTTTTCCTTTTAGTTGGGATAGAAATATTTATTTCAGTTAATAATTTGGCTAGGCATGTTTCTATCCTTAGAGCAAATTGATTGACCGATTCTGTGGGGTTCTGCCTGCAATCCTGTAGGTCTGACAGGAGGTGAGAGTAGTGTTTTCTTTCACCAAACTGTTGTTTTAAAAATTCTAAGAACTGTTCAAATGATTCGAAATCTTTTATGCTACACGTTGTTTCCGCCCTACCTTCTAATTGGCTAAGTATATATTTCGATTTTTGTGATTTGGAAGCTAAACTATAAGCATTTTGGCAATTGGATATAAACGGATTTAATTTTTCTCGTGACCCATCAAAAGGTTTAATGAATTTTAATAACACACCGATTTCTTTTTTCTTTGCTTATATTTCCTCAGCTTCACCGCGCATTGGTAAGTTTTTAGAGGCACAGGGAGTTTCTTCACATTTACTCATTATGGTATTGAAGTAGTTATTACAAATTAAAATTAAATCGTAGACCGCTTATCGGCTATATAACAATGAACAACACAACACAGAACAATGTTAACTAAAGCTTATCATAACATAAATACATTCAACAACAAAATCACAGTTAATGTATAGAACAATGAATACAGTTTAAATTTGAAGTATTGTAACATAAGAATGAAATGGTTAGGAGATAAATTATATTTTAAATTAAATAAAAGGATGTCTTTGCTCTGAGTTCATTAATAATTGCTTAAAAGAAGATCACTTACAGGAGTAGTGATAGAGTGATGAATAATCTTGCATTTGTGTTCATTGTATGCTGGAGACACACCCCTGTGTGCCAGTGAGGATGATGACGGTGATGAGTAGGATGCTGGTTGATGCAGAAGGCCTGTGCTTGGAACAGGCTGGATGTTGATTTTCTTGATGCACTTCCACTATGTTTAAACTTTTAATTTTACTTATTTTTCACTTTGATTTAATTGCACTTGTTAGAATTCACTTTATTAATTCTTCGATAATATTATTCTTCGGAAACGTATTCGGGTAGGGGATTTTCGTATCCCACCGCTGCCACCAATATTATACGGGACCGTGGATAGAGCTTTTTAAAAAACGATTTTATTTACACAACACGATATAATTGGTTAGAATTAACAATAAGATTTATTTAACTTAGGATTAAGAATAACTGGGACTTAGAATTATATAGTAAAGATTTATTAAAGATATAGAAACGACTTAGTAACGATGTATGAACGAGACTGAGATTGGAACGAGACTGACTTGTAGATTGATTCTTGATTCCCGACTGACTTCTGATTCGACTGACCTGTGGGCGTTTGTCGGGAGGTCGGTTATATAGGCTTTATGGTGCTGACGCAGCAGCGTTAAAGAGATGCGTTAACCGATCTCCTAACATTGATGGGGTATAACAGTACTCTGGTTCTGTACTCGGATAGCCATCGTAGTCCTACTGTACAAGCACTTCAACACTTCGATATACCGACAGTCAACTTGGCACCGCTGAAGGGACTGCAGCACCGCCCAAATTTTGACGGAATCAAAGGCTTTCTCATAGTCCACATACGCCAGACATAGGGCAAATTGTACTCTTCGGACTTCTGTACAATTTGCCGAAGGGTATGTATGTGGTCTATGGTGCTAAAGCCCTTTCGGAAACCGGCTTGTTCGGGAGGCTGGAAGTCGTCAAGTCTGCGTGCGAGACGATTCGTAATGACTCTCGAAAACAGCACGTAGACGCGGCTTGAAAGGGAAATCGGTCTGTAGTTCTTTAGGAGAGCGTTGGCGCATTTCTTGAAGAACAAGACCACCGCACTTCTGCTCCACGCCTCCGGAGTAGTGCCACCATGGAGGACGGAATTAAAGAGCTTCTGAAGAACTTCAAGTACCGGTTTTCCACCCGCTTTCAAAAGCTCCGCTGTAATTCCATCCTCGCCCGGGGATTTGCCGTTTTTAAGGTTCTGGAGAGCCATTCTAATCTCGCTCAGACTGACGTCCGGGAAATCTTCGGAATATTAGAATAGTAGAATGACTATTCATAAATAACTTGAAGTAAACAAAATAGCAATAAAGTAATTTTTCATTACGAGATGCTTAAAAATCTTTTATTTTGAGCATCTTTAAATTTCTAATTCTTCTATAATCTAGATTTTTAAGCATCTTTAAATTTGTAACATATATTGCGGTACATATATTGTATTGTTTTGGTAGTTATTGATCCAAGCTATCACTCCCTGGACTATGTCGTACTATTTACTGGACACCTTAGGTATGTGTACCATCAGATGGACTGTGTGCTCGTTTTTATTTTACTATACAATATAATAAAATTGTAAGAGTCATTAATGTTGGGAGGATTTTACAACATTAAAATTTAATTAAAAGAGTACGTCATATCGTTACGTAGCTATATAAATTCTCCTACCTAGATACAATATAAAAAAGGTTGTAAACTTTTACAATACTCTTGTTTGAATATTTACTCAGGTATTTTTTGTATCCACAGATCAGTTGGGTCATTATAACTGTTTGCTACGAGGTGGAAGCCATTCTCGCGGCAAGTTTTCTGTTTGGAATCTGCAGATGTATACCACTGGTTGTACCGATCTACATCAGCGAGATTTGCCAAGCTTCCATACGTGGGGCGATGACTTCAAGCGCGATGATCTTCCAATCAATTGGAATGCTCGTTTCTTACCTCATGGGAGGCTATTTGAGCTACGACGTCATGAACTACGCCTGTTTATCTATGACAGTACTTGGAGTGGTCTTGATATCTTTTTTGAAGGAGTCACCGATACATCTGATGAGGAAAGGTCACGAGAACGTAAGTTGAATGAAAAAAAAACTCGACCATTTTGCGTTCTTCTTCTTTTTATCTATCAGCCTATACTGACTTTAATGCTAGTCATAGTCATTTCATATTATAGGTAGACATAGCTATAATAGCTTGGATAGTAAGTAGCTAGACATCTGCTACTGCGAATGTTAACACTACCAAGTGTGGTTGTTTAAGACAAATCTTTGCTAACGGGAAAAGCAAAGTCCAGCACTGTGGAAATCGTATTTGATGGCAGTTTGATGATGATCGGAATCAAATTTTGAGTAAAAATATACAAATTATTGTTTTGGGGTATACTTGGTTTTGGTTGGTGTCCCTTTGCTACTCACATTATCTTAGCATCACACCAGACAGAGTTTTTGAATTCTTATTCAAAGCTCTTACTATATGTCTCAGTGATAAAAACCAAGGTTTCGTTATGCTATGATTGCAGCACGGATAGATTTGCTTGACCGGAGTAGGCCGCTCTCATAGACTACCAACGTGAAAAAGTGGCTTAACGCTGGTGCTAACCATATCAGTAATTATAATAATGGACCCATTTTAATTGTAAACAAGCAATCCATTTTAGACTTTAGACATAGCAACTCATCAGCATTTTGTTCTTTAATCAAGGATAGATGTATGTGCCTATGGCTAAAGGAACTCAAACTCAAACGTTAGTCAATTAATTATGACGTTGTAAATAATGCCGTGTAGTGGCGGTTAAGAATATCCACTACCACAATCTTCCCGTAGGTGTCGTAAAAGGTGACAAAGGTAAACAGGCAGGAGATGGGCAGCAGCATCTTCCTGATAACAGCAAAATCGGAATAAAAAATCTGCGGTTGCCAACCCACTCGCCAAGCGTGGCAACTATGGCAAATAACCCCCTATGATGAGAGCAAAAAAGAGACGGCCCTCAATTCCCGGCGGCCCCGCTATTCCTGGCTAATGCGGCGACCATTTTAGCGGCGGGGCAGTGGGTGCTAAGAATTTCCGGTGGAGGTTCGGTCGCCACCTAAGACGATTCGACCCTGAGGACTGACGAGAAGATCTTGGAGCTGGAAGAAGAGGTAGACAAGTTACGCTGGCATATTATAGGATTATCCGAGGTCCGAAGAGAGGGGGAGGACACGGTAATCCTCGAATCCGTCAACTTGCTCTATCACCGGGAGGGCGACATACTGTCCCAAGGAGGTCGGATTTATCTTCCACAAGTCTCTCGTTAACAACGTTGTAAAGGTTGAGAGTGTGTCGGCAAAGGTTGCGTATTTTATACTCAGAATCACCAAACGGTATTCGCTGAAGGTCATGCAGGTTTACGCACCAACTTCGGCACACCCCTATGAAGAGTTGAAGGAAATGTATGAGGATATCTCTAGAGCCATGCATTCCTCCAAAACCCACTATAAGGTGTTAATGGGAGACTTCAATGCAAAACTAGGCACAAGAGAGAACGGTGAGCTGAAAGTAGGGAAATTTGGAATAGGCCAACGGAACTCAAGGGGCCAGCAGCTGGCGGACTTCATGGAGAAAGAGGGACTCTTTATGATAAACTCTTTCTTCCAGAAGCGGCTCCACAAGAAGTGGACCTGGTTGAGCCTCGACGGTTCGAAAAAACATGAGATTGACTTCATAATGACGACCAGACGACAACTGTTCAGTGATGTCGCCGTGATCGCGAGGGTGAAAACTGGTAGCGATCACCGAATGATTAGAGGCACACCGGACCTAAACGTTAAGTTGGAGAGGTCTCGTTTGATGAAGTTAACGCTCCGTCCCCCTCGTGCTCTGTCCCAAAGTCCCAAAACCTTTCAGCTCGAGTTACAAAAACTATTTCAGTGCCTAGAAGACTGCAATGAAGTGGACTATATGAATGACAAGCTCGTGGAAATTGTCCATGCGGTCGGAGCTAAGTTCTGCAAGACCCGCCGCAGAAGAACACAAAAACTCTCCGATCACACTCTTAATCCCATAGTTGTTAGACGGGAGATGGAGTTACATTCTTCAATATAGTTAACAGCATACAGGCAACTGAACAGACAGATCTCCAAATGCTTGCGGCGGGACTTACGCAACTTCAATACAACTTGTATTGAAGAAGCGATCTAGCGGAACCAGGGCTCCAAAGTCTTTGCAGAAGATCTGTCTGCCAAAAAGAGACAACTGTCAAAGCTGAAGACCGAACGTGGCAGCATCGTTTCCGGAACACCTGAGATTTTGAGTGAGATTGAGAGGTTCTATGGGCAGCTGTCCACGTCATCGTTGAAGCCACACGCAAGTGTGAGTAACGATCCAAGAGCGAGTCTTATCCGACACTATTCCGATGATATCCCGGACGTCAGTTTGAGCGAGATTAGAATGGCTCTCCAGCACCTTAAATACGGCAAATTCTTGGGCGAGGATGGAATTACAGCGGAACTTTTGAAAGCGGGTGGAAAACCGGCACTTGAAGTCCTTCAGAAGCTCTTTAATTCCGTCCTCCATGGTGGCACTACACCGGAGTCGTGGAGCAGAAGTGCTCTTCGTCTTGTTCTTCAAAAAAGGCGACAACTCTCTCTTGAAAAATGCCAGACCGATTTCCCTTCTGAGACGCGTCTACGTGCTGTTTTCCAGAGTCATTACGAATCGTCTCGCATGCAGACTTGTCGACTTCCAGCCTCCTGAACAAGCCGGTTTCCGAAAAGGCTTTAGTACCATGGACCACATACAGAACGTTCGGCAAATTATACAGAAGACGGAGGAGTATAATCAGCTGCTTTGCCTTGCGTATGTGGGCTATGAGAAAGCCTTTTCGGAAAGCCAAAGAAAAATTTGGGTGGTGCTGCAGTCTCTTCAGCGGTGCCAAGTTGACTGTCGGTATATCGAAGTACTGAAGTGTTTGTACAGTAGAGGTAAGATGGCTATCCGAGTACAGAATCAGAGTACGAAACCTATCCAACTGCAGAGAGGTGTAATACAGGATGACGTTATATCCCCGAAACTCTTCACCGCTGCATATGAATACGTTTTCAAGCTGCTAGACTGGAAAGGATGCAGTTTCAACATCAATGGCGAGTACATCACTCACCTTCGATTTGCCGACGATATAGTCCTTACGGCAGAATTGCTGAAGGACCTAAGCACTATGCTCAATGACCTTAATAGTGTTTCCCAACGGATAGGTCTTAAGATGAACATGGACAAAACAAAAATCATGCTTAACGTCCATGTCACACCTATGCTGGTAGTTGTTGGGAGCACTAATCTCGAAGTTGTTGACGAGTATGTTTACCTGGGACAAATAGTCCGACTAGGTAAGTCCAACTTCGACCGAGAGGTCAATCGACGGATTCAACTCGGCTGGGCAGCGTTCGGGTAACTACGACACATCTTCTCGTTTGACATACCTCAAAATCTGAAAACGAAATTGTACAACCAGTGCGTGTTGCCAGTGATGACTTACGGATCTGAGACGGGGTCCTTCACTGCGGCCGTATGAGGAAGC